GAAAAATAAATATGGGGAAGTGAAAAATAAATATGGGGAAGTGAAAAATAAATATGGGGAAGTGAAAAATATATATGGGGAAGTGAAAAATATATATGGGGAAGTTGAAAAATAAATATGGGGAAGTGAAAATAAATAAATATGGGAAGTGAAAAATAAATATGGGGAAGTGATATCTCGGTACTAGTGATATAACGTAATGTCTACTTTATTGTACACCAAACTTTAAAGTACACTAAACATAGCCTTCTAAATTACAAATGCAAAATATTGGTTTAAAAAAAAAGATACTTTAGAGGTGTGCCGTTAATACTGCAGTATAGAGTATAGTCATAATCGGGGGAGAGTCACAAACTCGCAGCCTTTTGAAAAAAAACCCAGCCCTTTATGATTCGCTAAAACATAGAAAAATCTTGAAAATGGTGTCAGTAGAAAAACATTTGACATAATAAATATATAATAATGTGTGTCTATTGGTCAAATATTATTTTTGTTTCGTAACGGGCTCATTGCTCTTTTTGGAATCTTCTAGAAAGTAGTATTTATCGTTACAAAGTTATACAAAAAAAATATAGGCGCCTCATTGCTCCATTCGTCTAAACGACCATATCGTTTATGGGAGTGTCAGACTGTCAGAGTGTCAGTACTGTACTTTCATAATTTTTAAAAAATAATTATATATGTATGTATATGTAAATGTAACACCGTTTATTGCTCAAATTTTCCGATCACGTCGACATCGTTCACCTGGTCCTAGGCTCCGGGTTGGTCACCTTTAAAATATTCACAAAGAAAACTGAAAAGATGATCAGATTTGAGATTCGGAATTCCTCAATCCCTACTCTAGTTCCCTGAGAATCCCTAATACTATTTAACTCCCCAACCGGCTCACAAAAGTCTCGACTCTCGACTCTCGAGTTCTCGACTGTCGCGGTGTCACCCTCCAGTGGACTAAACCGCTGAGCGCTGGGGCCAACATCAGTCCCTCACTTGCCCCAAGGCCCACCCAAAACACTTTTTTTATACTATTTAAAAAAATATACAAATAATATATAAATTGATCCTGTTTTTTTAAAATAAACAAATGTCGACTCTTTTTAACACATCCCGTTACAAATATGTTTACAAAGAGTGAAATTCCAAATAGCAATAGAATAGTAAACAAATAAAAAGGTGGCGAACATAAGACAGTTGGCTGTGTCAATATTAGAGGTTGATAGGAATTCTTGTCCGCTTCGAGGGCTACTCTACAAAATAAACTGGAAAAAATCATGATGTGCAAAATTTGATAAACGACGTGGCCGTTTATATAGTTATATGGATACTTTTCTTAAGTAAAAAATGACGATTGCACTGGCGGACAACTCTCTACTACTAGACTAGCACTACATACTCTCTCTAGCTCTCTCTCTCTACTCTAGACCAGTAGGGAGTTTCGTTTGCTGAAGTGGTTGACAAACTCGTAAGTATTTAGTAATATAGTTGTACTTGTGTTTCTATAGTAACCTGCTGGTCGGTAAACAGCACAAGGCACATACACATAACACAGAACATTACACATATAGCCTTGTAGCTAGCAGATATTTGAAATTGTTGGTAAAATAGTCGGAGGGAATACAAGTAAGCCGGTAACTATAAAAAAACGACTATTTAGTAACCTGTTGGTCGGAAGCTAGCCGATATTTGAAATTGTTGGTGTGGTGCGCCATAAAATAGTCAGAGGGACTGAGGGAATATATGTAAAAGCCGGGAGCTAAAAAAACGACCATAGGTTTTCGAATTTCGACCGACATGTTTTTAATTAGCCATGTCGTTTTGACGTTTTCACAGCGTAGCCTTCTCAATTACTTTTTCACTGGAGGTTTAAATATACATACAAATATATGAAGTAAAACGACCATGTCGTTTACCTGGTCAGTGTGTATTGACTTTATAGAGTATATTTAGATTCTACTAAAACGAGAATGCCAGAAATGAATCATGTGTGATTATGTCTGTCGTAAACAAATGGAATATAGAAACCTGGAACTCAACTCATCAGTCACTCTGATCAGAATTCAAAATTTCAGATACTTTCTCTCAGCTCTCAAAGTCTCAGACTCAGAGGTCTCATCAGACAAGTCTCAACTCTCAAACTCAGCTCTCAGAGTCATAACTTTATAGAGTCTCTCTCTACTCTAGAGAGCTGAGTCTAGCACACACACAGTCTCACTCTGAGAGTCTCTACTGAGTCTACTCTTCTCGCACACACACTTTCTCTCTCTCGGCGAGAGAGTCTCTAGAGAGAGTAGAAATTGAAGGACTAATTTTCATATATAAATTATATTTCAAAGAAGAAGGCTATGTATGAAATATCAAACAATATGAATATAGATACATTTTTATTCTTGTTAAAAAAAACAGTCAACACTCATCAGTCACTCAACAGTAACTAATAGTACGACAGAGTACCAGCCTAACAGTAACGCTGGTGGTAAATAGACAATGATGTGAAAATTGAAATTGTGATTTGTATTGTCCTGCGGACGTTAGTCCGATCAGCCTTATTTTGTTCTTTCTTCTTTCTCTCGCTCTCTCTAGAGAGAGTCTAGTAGAGAGAGAGAGCGGGTCATGTTGTATTGTGACTTGTCACTAGAGTCAAGTCCAAGACTCGAGGAGTCGAGACTCGTGAGACCTAAGAAGTAAGAACACTGTTGTGATAGTCTGATTCAACATATTTACACTCGCGGAGACGCAGACTCGCAATCTATGAAAAGTTGAAACCATTAACTGCACCAGTGAAATCAGTAATCACTGAATCTCAGAATCCAGTGGTTTGACTGGGGTTTCCGTTTGAGTGGTTGACTGGCTTCTATTGTGTTTTTTTCATTAAAAACAGCAGCCTTCAACGGCTTCAAGGCAAATCACATAAATGTGTCTCTGACTCTGTCAATGTTTAAAAAATAAAGAGACTCAAGAGTCTCAGACGCTCAGTGCAAAGAGGAAATATGCAAAAACAGTACTTAATTTTTTGTTTTTTACTTGACTATGTATGTATATATTTCTATAAATATATATATATATATATATAAATGCACTTTAATACTTTTTTGCTCCGAGGATCTTTTTATTTAGAATGTTTTTCAGGTCTCAGTGTCTCACTCTCACAGTCTCTTGGTCTAGAATTGTGTTTTTAAAAAATAAAATAAAATGAAACAATGACTTTTTTTTAAATGAAGCAACTCAAACAAGAGAGGATCAGATCATCAGAGTATGAAGCTGTTGAATTTGTCAAAAGTATATGCCGCCGTCGCCGCCGCTTCTTGTCGGTAAATGAATAAAAATTTAAAATTAAAACAAAAATTATAAAATTTTTATCAAGAATATTTTAAGACCAAACATCTCCCTATATATATATACATTTCTATGAGTATATAATATATATGTGCGCTTCTGTCTTCGCTACTTCGTATCACACTTTACGTGGGTCACAAGCGAAATCTGATTCTTAACTTGTATAACGACAAAGCCATATATTAGGAGTGATAGGCTTATTGCCACAACTTCAACCAATATCCCTCTAGTCTGTACCCATATCATGCATAGTGCCCTATTTCAAGCAAAATGGAATCAAAATTGCCATCAAGTTGTGTAATATTGGATAAATCTACAAAATCGCCAGTGCTACCGGGATGGATTTCAAGTATCAAGGATCGCAAATATGTTTTGAAGCTGAGAAATAACCGCGATTACAAAATAAGCGCACGTTCGCCGAGGAGGAGTCATACAACCGGAGACGTAGACCATAAAAATCAGGCGTTGTTAATAGAAGCACTCCCGAACGAGATTGTGCTCAAAATCTGCGCCGAATTGCGATTCCACACGCTTGTTGAATGTAAATCCGTGAGCAGGGCATTTTATACCGCTGCATGCGACCCCTCATTGTACACCAAACTACCATACAAAATATGGGATGAAGCTCTCAAGCGACTTTCTTTCCCCGAGGCCATTGATATCGCGCGGTCGTATCCTCAGCTTGAGACTTGGAATTTCATATCAGGTCACGAAATCACGGAAAGCTCTCTTGCAAGTCTTGCACGGGCAGTTCCAAACTTGAAACGCATTGATATCACAGAGGTGGATTCAGGGCAAGATTTGCAATTGCCAAAGTATTGGCCAAGGCTTGAGAAGCTGGTTGCTCTCGAGCTGCCTGCTTATGATTTGTCATGTTTGGTGGAGCTAGAATTGCTAGGGGGCCACAAAATACTGCCTGCTATCGCATCAAAAAGTCTTCTCAAATTATCGGCTGGTCGTACTTCTTGTGTTCAAGATTTGTTGGATAACTGTCCTAATATGAGGAATCTAAAACTGCACTGGCAGTCGATAGAGGAAAAACTAAGTAGTCCAACGTTGAAACAACTGGCTGTTTTCTGTGTCCAAGCCAGAGATGCATTGCACGGTTGCACAACTTTGCAAGAATTAGAAGTCACCCAGGTTAGTTCCACGATGTTCAGCAGGTCTGCAAAACTTCTTCGCATCTGGACTGGGAACGCACCCTGCTTTCTACTCGACAGTTTTCCCGAGGTGACAACTCTGGAATGTAATGGCCGTTTCTCTACTATAGATGAGGGGTTTGCGTCATGTCAGCTACAGAAGCTTGAGATTGCCGGCTCGCTTCCGAATAGCTACGGGTTGCCAAATGTGACTAACTTGGTTCAGAACAAGACTTCACTTAGATGCACTCGTCTATCCGCTCTTAAAAAATTGCACATGACGAAGTTCGTAGACAAGCAAGCGCTGATCGACACACTCTTACAGTGTCCTGATTTGCACACTATACATCTGCAATGTGCCGTGCCATGGTCAGATGGCACTGATGGCCATGGGACTTCAGTGAACAGAGTTTGGACTGACTTTCTCGAGTCAGGGTTCGGTGACATGGTGCGAGTTACAGTCGGCGATGAATTGAGAGGAGCTATGCCGCCATCGTTTGAAAAGTTGCTGCGGGAGCATAAGGTTGGATATTTAACCTCATCAGATTGCTCTATGTATGCGTGATACGTATGTGTACACACTATCAAGAAGTAGCTTCATATATAGTAAACGACACGAGACATAGACTTTCGAATCAGATATTAGTAAAAGATAAAAAATAAACTTCGCGACATTTCTCGTCTGTTGTAACGCCACAGATCACGCCTCTTTGAATGTGTTGTCGCGCCTAGTGCTCTTCTACGCGAATACAAAGCCCCCAAAGCGACCAGACATGGGCGACGATGTACAAGGCGAATAGTATATCTGCAAAAAAAAATCTTATTGCATCATAATTACTTTCTCGCAATTGTTCTTGGATCGCGGCTATTTATCATATTTATATCATTCATATAGTGACATCTTGTATCTATGTACTGCAGTTCCTCGTTTCGTTTCATATTAAAAAAAAAAATGCTTGTTCAAGTGCAACACAGTCATGAGCCAGTGAGGCTACTTTCCAATCCTACGCGGCCGCTAAATGCTCTTGCTCTGCATTGTTTGTTACTTCGTCATGTTGTTTTAGTTGCTTCGTCGAGAATTGGTTTATTTACTTCGTTCTGTTTCTTGTGATTACTTTGCCAAAAGTGCTTTTTTATGTTGGGTTGTTGATATCTCCACACGAAACGGTTGTTTCTGTTTGTTGCCCTACAGTGGTGCGCATATAACAAAGAGCAGCATCTCGTCTGATGTTCTGAACGTAAGAAACGCGTTCTACTGAGTGGCAATTCCAGACCTCTTGAGGACAGGATCTAAATAGTCAACAAAGCAACATGGCCTTATTCGAAGCTGTGCGTAATGGTTCTGTCGAGTCTGTGCAAGATATTCTAAATGAGGTGGAGGATTGGGGTGATGCCGCTGGCGCCTGCGGGGTGGACTTAGAGGACAAGGACGAGGTAGGTTTTGTGCAAGACCAATCCTTACTTTAAATAGGTAAGTTTCGTACATAAGCAGGATGCGCTTAAAAAAGACAGGCAGTGCGAAAGAGCGGCTATTTATACTCAAGTGGTAGTTCACTTCATCTGTTCCATGAACGTTAACTTATCGTATACCGTAAGGGTTGTTCTACGTAACATTACAGGTACATTTCCGTGAGGCGAACAAAACAGCAATAGATACTCTTGGTAGCTACTGCACGAATAACGAGTATAAAATTGGAGATAGAGAAACTCGTGGGGATTGTGCATATGTTTTTATGTGTGCGTGCCGTTTTGTTTGCGCGTCCGTGTGTGGGATTCCAGTATGTCTCGTCAATCTTGTACATCTGCGTGCGACAAATATCAATTTGATGTTAAGAATGGCTTGTTTATGACAATTTTCTGACGCTAGCGGCTCAGCTTCTGATCGTTGTGTTGGTCATTGAGTTGATACTCGAGTTTCACTGGCGAGAGGTCTTAGTTCGCACCGAGTTGTGGTGATGAAATAAAATACGCGGGATTCTATTGATATCAAACACCATGTTGTCCACAGCATACATGCACACACACACACACACATAGCAACTGCGCTGATAGATTGCAATCGACCAGTGACTAGTAGTACCTACGGCACAAGTATCCGTCACTCAAATGCACGGGAATAGCCGGCTTCACGCGAGCCAATGGCGCTAGCAACGCACCCCAGTGTGGTGTCGAGTCATCTGTGGTTCTCTGATGAGTAATGGGAATTGTATAGGCAGGACAGGATACGTATACGCTATATTACTACCTTAACTACATTTGTCGGACAAAACTTAGGTAGATACGGTCTAGCAGTTCGGTACATACACAACACCAGTTGTTAGTTGTACCATGTCACACACGCTGGCTGGGCAAACTACGGTGACATTGTCTAATAGATTCGTCGCACGATACCCGTGGATGTTGTTATTAAAGTCATTACATTACGCTACACCCCATTCGTCGTACGATACCCATGGATGTTGTTATAAAAGTCGTTACATTACGCTACACCCGATCCATCGTACCATCCCCGTGGATGTTGTGATAAAAGTCATTACATTACGCTACACCCGATTCATCTTATGATACCCGTGGATGTTGTTATAAAAGTCGTTACAACACGCTACGCCCATCGTAGAACGGCCGGACGGCACTTCATATAGCTGCGGAGAAGAACATGTCTGACATCGTCGGGCTTTTACTTGAGAGTGGGGCCAGTGCTAATCCGCTTGATAAGGTATCTGCGTTGATACATACAAACATACTTACAAACATATAGATGGCGTATCTGCAACGATACACTCATCCACATATGTAAGGTATGTGTGCGGGTGTCTGTACTGACAACACTATACATATAGATACGGTATCTGCATTGACACTTCGACGTATTTAGAAGAGGTATCTGTGTTTATACATACGTGCATACATACATATATACATACGTGTAGATGGCATATCTGAGCCGATACATGCATACCTATACATAGGTATCTGTGCTGATACTTACATACGTACTTACATACATACATACATGCATACATGACAACATATGTGTGCCGACACATGCATACTTATACGCAAGGTATATGGGCAGGTACAGACATGAAGATAACATACATACAATATACATGCAGGTATGCAGATAACATACGTACATATATACATGCAGACATGTAGATAACGTACATACAAATATACATGTAGACATGCAGATAATATACAGAAAACAAACATACATATATACATGCAGACATGCAGATAACATACATACTTATATACATGCAAACATGTAGATAGCATACATACATATATACATGCAGACATGTAGATAGCTTACATACAAATATACATGCAGACATGTAGATAACATACGTACATATATACATGCAGACATGTAGATAACATACATTCATATATACATGCATACATGTAGATAACTTACATACATATATACATGCAGACATGTAGATAACATACATACATATATACATGCAGACATGTCGATAGCATACATACATATATACATGCAGACATGTAGATAACATACATATATATATACATGCAGACATGTAGATAACTTACATACATATATACATGCAGACATGTAGATAACATACATACATATATACGTGCAGAGATGTAGATAACATATACGTGCCGTGGTAAGGTATCTATGCTGATACCTACATACATCTAGGTATCGCATATGTACTGGTATATTCATACATACATTAAATGTATCTGTGCTGTCAGTTCCATACACCTGTATGTAGAGTCTGTACTTACGCATCTATGCATACAGATAGGGCATCTGTGCTAACAGATTCGTAGGAATAAAAATGAGGTATGTGCTATTACACACTCGTTCGTGTAGATGACGTATATGTACCCACACATGCAAAAAAACTGATCTGCAGTGACACACTCATATATATAAATATCGTATATGTACTTTGGTACTCACCCGTACATATAAAAACGGTATATGTGCAACACACCCATACATATAGTAAATTATGTAATACTGCAGAGTGCAGGCACAAGCTTGCCTTTATATGGAGTCGTGAGTAATGTAGGTATATTTATGGCACTCACATCTACCTTATTAGGCAATGAAGACACCACTGTATCTGGCAGCCGAGAAAAATCACAGCGACGTCATGCAGGTTCTGATCTGTGGCGATTTTGACCCCATGGCCTCGGTAAGTATACAAATCTGTGTGTACAACGGAAGTGTAGGTATATGGGGGAGTGTGAGTGGTGTGTAGGTATATGTGGTAGGGTCTGTGGTGTATAGGTATATGTGGTAGGGTTTAATATATATATATATATATTGTATCGTTGACTGTCTGACTGCCTGAGCGGTGTGTGAGTAGTATAGTATTGTATGCCGTCTTTGTACGCGCACATTGATGAGGTTGTCGATCGTTTAAACCGGCTATACACGTATATGAATCATTCCCGTGCGTTTGCCAAGGACGATCTACACATCCTCTCCGTTCCCTTTCGTAACAATCCACTGGCTGGGCTATATTTGCGTATGATCAAGGAACGAGCATACATACACATACACACGAATGTACATAGTACCCCTGCATTCATGCACACAAGTATATGTATGCGTGTATACACACAGACAGTCATACACACACCTACACCCTTTTATATCACGCACAGAGTCAAGTGCACACGTTCCACTTAGCAACCGAGCGCAACGACACAGCAGTAATGGAAGAGCTACTGGTCAATCTGGTGGACGTCGATGAGCGAGGCTGTGCATTGGGGGACAAGGTATGTTATATGTATAGTCATATAGTACAGGTATAAGCATATATAGTATATATATGAAAATGCATGGTATATGTGTTCGCATTAATGATATATGAATACATATATGGAATATATGAACAAACATATATAGCATCTATACAAACATATATTATATATATACAAGCATATATAGTATATCGTGAATATATGAAATACATGTATATATAACATCTGTAGAAACATATTTTATATATACATGTACAAGCATTTATAGTGCATGCATAAGTATATGAAATACATATATAAATGTATACAACATCTGTAGATACATATATCATATATGTCCAAGCAATTATAGTGTATATACAATACATGCATAAGCCTATATAACACCTGTATATAGTATAGCTCTGACCCCTGTCGTACATCCCATATGTGTGTGCGTGTGGGACTACATTAGGGTCCTGGTGACCTCATCGTAGAAGATCTCTAAACGCATATCCATATCCCGGTAGGCGTAGGATTACAATATGTTGTGCATGCATTTATAGCTGTGGTACCGTTTTACAAGCTGTTACTTGTTGACCACGGATACTCATCTCACCTACCATGTGTGTGCGCAAACGGGTTGTGTGTGTGACCATCTAGTGTCCTGGTCTCAGACAACCCGCTTGTAGATGTATGGGCTCGAGTATGCATGTTAAATATTTAACCATTGGCTCACTCCATGTGTCTATATGTCTACATCTATGATATGTCTGTTTAATGGGCCACCCTTGCCTTATACCATATGTCTATATGTCTATATATCTGACATCTATGTTCAACGTATCTTATATCATATGTCTATATGTCTATATATCTGACATCTATGTTCAATGTGGCATCATTATCTCATATCATATGTCTATATGTCTATATATCTGACATCTATGTTCAATATGGCACCATTATCTTATATCATATGTCTATATGTCAATATATCTGACATCTATGTTCAATATGTCTATATATCCATCTATGTTCAATGTGGCACCATTATCTCATATGTTTATATATCTGGCATCTATGTACAATATGTCTATATATCTGACATCTATGTTTAATGTGACACCATTATCTCATACCATATGTCTATATACTCTTATCTGTATGTCTAAATACTCTTGTCATATATTATATGTCTATATGTATATATACTCTTGTCTTATATCATATGTCTACAGGTCTATATACTCTTATCTGTATGCCTATATACTCTTGTCTTGAACCATATGCCTATATTTCTATATACTCTTATCTGAATGTCTATGTACTCTTATCGTATATTATGTCTATATGTATATATACTCTTGTCTTATATTGTATGTCTATTTGTCTATATACTCTTATCTGTATGTCTATATACTCTTGTCTTAAAGCATATGCCTATATGTCTATATACTCTTATCTGGATGTCTAATACTCTTGCCTTATATTATATGTCTATATGTATATATACTCTTGTCTTATATTATATGTCTATATGTCTATATACTCTTATCTGTATGTTTATATACTCTTTTCTGTATGTCTATATACTCTTTTCTGTATGTCGATATACTCTTGCCTTATACCATACGTCTATTCTATATGTCCATATACGCTTGTCTTGTATCATATGTATATATGTCTATATACTCTTGTCTCATATTATATGGTTATACGTACATATTCCCTTAACCTATACCTTTAGTCTATATGTCCATATAGCTTATCGTGTATTAGATGTCTATATGTCTACACACTCTTGTCTCATATTCTATGGTTATGCGTACATATTCCCTTATCCTATACCATTAGTCTATATGCCCATATAGCTTATCTTGTATTAGATGTCTATATGTCTACACACTCTTGTCTCATATTTTATGGTTATACGTGCTTATTCCCTGATCCTATACCATTAGTCTATATATCCATATAGCTTATCTTGTATTATGTCTATATGTCTACACACTCTTGTCTCATATTATATGGTTATACGTACATATTCCCTTATCCTATACCATTAGTCTATATGTCCATATAGCTTATCTTGTAATATATGTCTATGTCTATACAACCTTGTCTCATATTATATTGTTATACGTATATATTCCCTTATCCTACACCATTAGTCTATATGTCCATGTACTCTTATCTTGTGTTAGATGTATATATGTCGCTATATCCTTATCATATACCATAGGTCTAAATGTCTATACACTCTTGTCTTCTACTACATGTCGATATATCTGATACCTATGTGTACTATGATACCATCCTCTCGTACCCTATACCCAAATGTCCATATCTCTGATATCCCCTTCTCCCACATCCTACGTAGTCCCCCTGTGACTCTCCTGTCCATTATCTGTGTCTGTGTGTGCACAGGGAGAGAGTGGTACAGCCCTGCAGGTGGCCGCGAGGAATGGGCATGTGTATGCACTTGAGATGTTGCTTTGGCATGGTGCCAACATAGACGCGGCTACCACGGTATGTGGGGGTGACTGGGAATACCAGGTAGACCCTTAGCCTACTGGGTTAACCGAAGGTTACGGGTGTCTGTATTGTATTAGTGTGTGTTGGAAGAAGCGTAGGGGTTTAGTCGGGTCTGTTAGTCTCGAATTTTACATTGTGTTGTATTCTTAGCCTGGGAGTCTAATGAGCTAGCCTTGGTGTTCTATTTTTAGCCTGGAGGTCTGACGGCACTCTACGCTGCTGCCCAAGCTGATCACACGCACGCTCTTACTCTCTTGCTGAAAGCTGGCGCAGATGTCAACAAACTTTCAACGGTAGGATATAATATAATAATATATAATAATATATATATATATATATATATAATAATATATATATACATATATATATATATTTATATAAATATACTACATAGA